CTAAATGGCCTCCCTGCCTCCACCATGCCTCTTCTACAATCTAGTCACCTCAAAGCAGTCTGAGTAAGTTCTTAAAATGTTAAGTCATCAGGGCAGTTCTTTGTTTATAATGCTATAATGGCTTCCTGTTTCACACAGAATAAAACCCAAAGTCCTGGCTATAATTTATAAGACCATACATCATCTGTCTCTCTTTGATTTTGATGTTCTTGCCTTATCTCTTACCTCATCTCCCCCAATCACCTCTGTTCTCACTTTGATCCAAGTACACTGGCGTAACCTCTAACACGGCAAGTAGCTTCTCCAAGACCTTTGCTTTTGCTGTTCTCTGCCTGTGCCATTCTTCCCTGAGATGACCTCTGCTTCATTCAAGCTTCTGCCCAAAGATCATCTTATTAGGAATATCCCTAACCATCGTATTTGAAAAAAGCAAGTCCACTGCCCAGTCTTCCTTTATTCCCTTTCCCCAGTTTCATTTTTCTGCATATCCCTTGCCGCCTGACATATATATTTTTGTATTCATCAATTGTCTTTTCATACTTCTCAATACACTCTAAGAAAACAGGGACTTGAGGTGTTTTATTTTACCCTATCCACAGCAACTAGAATAGAGACTGGTACAAGTATTATAAAGTATTTGTTGAATAAATAAATGAATGGATTTAAGAGACCTCAAAACATTGTGTTCCCCATGGGCTGGCCACATGGTTGCTGGCTATCACCAGAGGACATTCCGCTGGAATTGCCTTACTTCAGCCAAAAGAACTAGTGATTTCTGGGCATCATGATTAGAATTGAAAATGCATCTCGAAACATTATCCTACCCTGATACCCAATCCTGGGGTGCCTCACCTGGACTAATACATGCCACTTTACCTCTTAGGTCTCAAGAAAGGTCCAAGAAAAGCAAGTAAAAAAATCCAGAAAATGGAGAGGCCTGCCAGAATAAAGAGCAGGACATTTCAGTTTGGTATGACAGAAAATGAAGAATATGATCAAACTCCAGAAAATCAAAATGCTGTGATCAAGTCCAAGGTGAAGTTGTACACCAAATCCAGGATCAAAAAAAAAAAAAAAAAAAATGGAGAAGAATGCTTTAAAACTTGAAAGGTTGTGTGGAGGATGGAAAATGCATGGCCTATGAGATAGGCACAATTGAGTCTCAACGCAAGATCTGGCTGCATGCATGGCCTTGGGCAAGCTACCAAACCACCATGAACTGATACCTATATGTAAAATTACAATAATCGTACCCGCATCACAAGTCTGTTATGAAGACAGTGCACATACAAAGCACACAGCAAATGTTTTTTCTCTTTTTGTGATGAGAAAAATATTGGGATAAATAAAAGGATGTTCTCAAGCAGAAGGCAAGCTTAGGAAGGTTTTGTTATAAGATGGGTAAAGAATCAGGTGAATTAATAGAGGTAGAAAATATACATTATATTTTTTCTGCATTTTACAATCTTCAGACTATTTTCACTGACTTCATCTCCTTTGACCTTCACAAACTATCTTATGAGGTAAGAATGGTAAGTATAATGAAACCCATTTTACAGATGAGGAAACTGAGGATGGGGATTTTTTAAAGTCCCCTTAAAACAAGTTCCATGATCTTCTCACCAATCCAGAGGGCCTCTTCATAGAATTCAAGTCACTTCTCTGAAAAGCTTAGTCACTTAGGAGAGAGCCTCTGTGGGATATTAACAAAGATGTCTGAGCAGTTAGTCTATAAGTAGAGTCAAGAACCACCAAGCTGTTTCTCAACACACCTCTTAAACCTGTTATGAAAAGATTCAACTCGATGAGCCCTGGGTCTGACTCTCTGGAGTCAGTCTCTCAGTCCGCTGCTTGCTTTCCTTAACTGGGCATGAATGCAGTCCATCAGTGAGGCATGCCCATGGTGATTTTCTCTCTGCCTCTGGTTTTGAAAAGCATCTAGTTATGCATTCCCGAGGGTGGAGGGCAGACTGGGGAAGCCTGGGTCTTCAGTCACAGTAATGCCGGTTACCAGAAACAGCTAAACCAAATTTATAACATATGTTTCCATAGCCTCAAATATCCACCATTTGTCCCATGACCTTCTCTCTTTAAACAAATGCCAAACAAGGAGATTCAATTATTCAGTCAGTCTAAAATGAATCAGTTTATGCTGAAACCCAGTGCTGAGTTTATATAATTTTATACTATGGGTCACACTGAAAGCTTTATGCAAGCTTGTAGCTGCAGCCAAGAAACATTCCTACCTTTCTTTGCTGTTAAATTATTATCTAGGTAGAATTAATCCTCAAAGGAGAAAGCTAATTACATCACACCAGTTTTTGAAATGAAAAACAACAGAGAAATAGCATTCATTCATTCATTCATTCAATAAATATTTATTGTGTTCTTTTGAAGTGGCAGGCAGCATACAAGGTATTAGAAATAAAAAATGGAAAAGAAATAGTCCTTGGTCTCAGGAGTTCAGGGCTTTGTGTACAGATAGATACCGAACAGTCTTGAGTCATTTAAAACACAATGTGATAATACTATGATGGAAAGAATTACAAGGTGCAGTGGGAATCCAGGCTGCATAATTCCTAAGTGTTGCTAGGAGAAATCACTCCAGCAATTAGGATGACCAACTCATCCCAATTTGCCTGGGACTTGCCCTATTTTACCACTGTTGCTCCCATGCCTGAGAAGTATCTCAGCAAACCAGGATAGTTGGTCATCCTATCTGCAATACTAAACCAAAGAAAAAAAAAGTTATGTTTCTGTCTGCAAAAAGATCAAGTTCATTCCCAGAGGCACATGGGATCAGAATGACTTCATTAGAATGAGAATTCAGTAGTTGATGGAAAAACCGATCTTTCACGGCTCTGCCAGACACAAAGGAGGAATCAGCCTGATGTGTTAAGAGAGAAATTTTACGTGGTTTCCCTGCCTTTGCCTACAGTCTTGGGATAGCTATTTAACCTCTATGAGATTTTGTCTGTTTATTTGTAAAACTATGCTAAATATTGTATTAGTCAGGATAAGTCAGATTATGCTGCTGAATCTTATTGGCTATAAAAATAAGTTTATTGGCATTACAGTTCAGCTGGGGTGTGCTGCTCATCTCACTCACAGACAGAGCAGCCACTATCTCAAACACTGTCTGTCCCTAGGGCAGAGGGAAAGAGAATCATTCTTCGTGCCTCAGGTAATGGTTTCCTCTTCATCCACCAGCAATCCCTAAACCAACACCACATGGTCGTAGGCTTTTTTGTTGCAGCAGCATAACTTGGCCTATTCTGACTGATGGGGATACCTAAAGTGCAGATGTGAGACCAAGAGGAAGTAAGAGTGAAAACTGTTTGGCACCCCTTTAAGGGGTGATGTGAATGTTTGAAAACACAACTCGTGAACACTTACCTGTCATCTAAGATTATTCATATAAAAACTACCTTGTTTAGGCTGGTTGAGATGGCTCATGCCTGTAATCCTAGCACTTAGGGAGGCTAAGGTGGATGGATTGCTTGAGGCCAGGAGTTTGAGACCAACGTGGTGAAACCTCATCTCTACTAATAATACAAAAATTAGCTGGGCACAGTGGTGGGTGCCCTGTGATTCCAGCTACTCAGGAGGCTGAGGAAGGAGAATCCTTTGAAACTGGGAGGCGGGGGGTTGCAGTGAGCCAAGATTACACCACTGCACTCCAGCCTGGGCAAGAGTGGGGGACTCTGTCTCAAAAACAAAACCCAAAAAAACTACTTTGTTTAAAAACCAAGTTAGTGTTGAGGTTAGGGTTAAGCTGTTAAGGAGTCAGATTCCTGGTTTGACCTTTCTACAGACTAGTTAAGTTTTTCTCAAAGAATCACTTTTTCCACTGCTAAAGGCTTCAACCTTGGTCCCACCCAGTTATTCTTAAGACAAGTAATGAGCAGCTGATCCCAGGGCCAGAAAATGCAGTGGGCAAAGTGATGCCCTTTCCTGCTACCAAAAAAATAACCCCATGCTGCACCATTCTCATGTTTTTTAAATGGACTTTTAAAAGCCACTGGATCATTTGGAACATATTTCCATGAGTTTTATAACATTTTAACTCTTTTCTCCTCCATTTCATCATGAGCTTCGAGCTAAAGATAGTCATAAACAAACTCTGTGGTCTGTCTCTCAAAAAGGAAACATATGCAAATTCCAATTATCATCACTTTTTTCTGAGAATAGAAGAACTCTGCTTCCTATAGTGTAATGTTCATTTGCAAATTGCCTTTTGACAGGCGAAAATGGCACATTTGAACTAATGGCCTCTCCTTTTTAGAAACCGTTCAAAAGGAGTGGATCGATAGATGTAACATCTGATTACAGAGTGAGTAACAAGAAGGGGATTTCACCAGGGATCATTGAGCAAGAGTCTCAACATGGCCGAACTTTTTTTACAACTAAAGTCATCCATTAAACTCTGATGAACATGTGCATAACACATTTCCTGTGTAATTGAGACATCAAAAATTTCTGTCCTTTTAGTTAAGTGAAATGAAATGTTTCTCTTAGCTCTGATGAATAAATAGGTTCTTTTTAAAAAAATCCATAAAAGTTTAATTCTGTTTAGGTGATTCCCATTATGAACTTGCTTGAAAATGAGTTGTCTGTCCAACAGTGTGAGTTTTATAGTGAATGATTTCTCCTCTGATCAACACACCAATTATTTAGCTCTGTTCTTACATATTAAAGCACATTCTCTAGAGTTCAATTTTGGTTAGTTTCACTCCTGATGACATTGGGAACGAAATTTCAGCAGAATCTCATGAGGATTCATGGACAGGAAATTGTCCAACAATAAAACTCCAGGGAGGCAGTAAGAGACCAACTTGCATCTGAAGTTGAAGATGTCAGATGATGGGAGCCTAGAAATGAGCATAGAGGAAGGGACTCCTGGGAATAGCAGAAGAGTCTCCCAGGCAGCACTCAGCTTGGGAAATAATTACCTTTTCCTACCACAATCCTTAGTGGGCTATTAAGTCCCACCTTTGATCATGGGCAGAGGGCCTTCACAGACTTCAGGCAGCGGGGATTCTAGAGGAGATGTTTTACAGATGGTATCCTCAGAACTCACTCCAATTATAAGGGACTACAGAACCACATTGCCTGCACTGCACAAAACAGAAACAGAAACAGAAAACGAATTTCCCAACCCAGGAGCCTAAGATCCCTAAGGTTCCATCAAAAGGTTTAGAGGAATCAGAAACTATACTTAAGATTCTCCCCAAAATCTCATTCACCTGTCGGCTTTGACTTGTTTGAAGGAGTGTGGGGGTTAAAAAAAATCAAAGGTGACAATTCACACCAAAATACAAATAACAGCACACAAAAAACCCACAGCTGTGTTCAAATGGGAACACCAATACTGTTTTAGGAGGAAGGAGGACGGAGGCAACAAGCCAACGTCTGCTTGCCTGCTATCTGGTACATCACCAAGGTGACAGCAGCTGGGTACAGATCAACTTCTCTCTTGCCAGCCACAAAGCTGCATACTGTGCCTAGCCTGAGCTGGTCAGAACACATTCATGTGTGCTGTAATACACACTAAACACTAAAACAAATGTGCACACATCTCCAAGAGACCCATGCAAAGAAAAGACATTCCCAAAGAGAGATCGGTCCCAAGAGCTCAACAATTTCAGATTTTTCCAAAACATACCCTGCTACCTTCCAAATTGCCAGCTGCTTTTAAAATTTTTGCTGCAAAAGGGAAATCGTGACAAGAATTCTTAGGGTGGTGGAGGAAAAAAAGCTACTTTTCCCAGTCATTAGTACAATGTGCCTTATTAATTAGGTATCTTTATATAAATTAGAAAAAGTACTTTACTTGCATGTTCCCATAAAATGAATTCTGAGTATAGCAGCATCATGTTAGATTTGTTCAGATATAAATTTTTACAGCTATATAAAAGAGCCTATGTATACTTTTTCTGCTATCTTTACACATGATTTTTTCATTGGAAAAATAAAGATTGGCCAGGCGCAATGGCTCACGCCTGTAATCCCAGCACTTTGGGAGGCTAAGTGGATCAGGAAGTCAGGAGTTCGAGAGCAGCCTGACTAACATGGTGAAACCCCGTCTCTACTAAAAATACCAAAAAAAATTAGCTGGACATGGTGGCGCACACCTGTAATCCCAGCTACTCAGGAGGCTGAGGCAGGAGAATCACTTGAACCTGGGAGGCGGAGGTTGCAGGGAGCCGAGATCATGCCTCTGCACGCCAGTCTGGGTGACAGAGCAAGACTCCATCTCAGAAAAAAAAGAAGACGAAAAAGAAAGATTACATGTGATTTGTATGTAACTGATTATTATGCCAATAATTTTGGTCTTTAACATACTTCTTATTCATTAGGAGCAGATGGGGGTACTCAAGATCTCATATTAGGACTTTCTGTCCTGAATTTTCATTGAGCAAAACCTGGAAAATGTGAAAGCATATTTAGATTTTATATATTCTCTGAAATGTGATTTCCCAAGAATCTTAAATTTGACCCTCTTGCAATAATTTTGAATGAGAACTCCCAACTCACTTCAGAGAATATTTTTCACAGATATCTTGAGGCCTTCGTTAGAAAGTTATTTTCCCCCTGTTGGTACATTTGGTTACCTCATTTTGCTCTTTGTTTCAGATTCTGAAAGCTCACAAGGATGTCTTATGGAATCATTTGCTGAGTCATTTCCTCAAATCATATTCCATTATATCAGTTAACATATAGTTTTAAATGTACATATTACAAATATCTGTAACCAAATCATCTGAAGGCTTCATGCATTTTTAAAGAAGTTTGTCCATTTTTAATTAAAGTTACTAGTAATGCTTTACTAAGCAGTGCAATGAACTTTTTATTTTCAATCCTTGTGCCCAATTTTGGAGTTTAGAGGGTTGTTGGTAATAAATGTATGATGTATATTTTATAAAACTGTATTCCCTTAGTTGTTGATTCCTTCAGTAAGTGTTTCTCAAAGGCCTATGATATATGAGGTACCCTGCTAGGTCCTGGAATTAATCAGCAAATGAGACAGCCATACTGCCTGACCAAACACGAAGCTCACATCTGGAATTATACAACTACTTTCAAAATCAAGTATTTCATTAAAGTGTGGTAAGCAGTGCAAGAGAGAAATATAAGATATTAGAAGGGCATATACCCAGGGCATAACCTGATCTGAAATTCAAGGAAGGCTGCTCTGAGGATGTGTTGTAGAAGTTGAGAGCCACAGAAGGATGAGTTAAAGCTAACGAGGCAAAAAAGTGAAGAACATTACAGACCTACAGAACAAGAAATGCAAAGGCCCTCAGGTGAAAAGGAGAATGGCACTCTCAAGGAAAGAAAGCCAGGTGCTGGAACACAGGTGATGAGATGGTGAAGAAAGGAGAAGACCGAGAAGGTTGCCAAAGTTTGGGAGCTTAAGCTGGGAGAGAGGAAATGGTTGGCTATTAAATTTGCAGATAATTTAAGTTGTATGATTTGTCACCAAATAACAAATCCAACTATACAAAATACTATAAAGACTCTATAAAGGGCTCCTTTTGCCACCTACCCTTTGCTCCAATCTCATTTTAGAGGTAAGCACTATGAACAGCTTCTGCAAGGAGCTTTTTTTTTTTTTTTTTTGAGACAAAGTCTCGCTCTGTCACCAGGTGGGAGCTGGGAGCTTCTAATGGCCATCAATGAAAAAGGAATCAGGGCCAGGCAAGTGGCTCATGCCTGTAATCCCATCACTGCAGGAGGCTGAGGCAGGTGGATCACCTGAGGTTAGGAGTTTGAGAACAGCCTAGCCAACATAGTGGAACCCCATCTCTACTAAAAATACAAAAAAAATAGCTGGGCTTGGTGGTGGGTGCCTGTAATCTCAGCTACTTGGGAGGCTGAAGCAGGAGAATCTCTTTAGCCCAGGAGGCGGAGGATTCAGTGAGCTGAGATCACGCATTGCAACTCCAGCCTAGGCAACAAGAGCAAAACTCTGTCACAGAAAAAAAAAAAAAAAAAAAAAAAAAAAAAAAAAAAAAAGAAAAAAGAAAAAGGAATCAAACACATGCAGGCTACCAGCCCAGGATAGCTATGAATAATTTTGCCATAACCTGGGACCACTCTCGGAAGAAAATATATCATCTTATGAAGCTGAAGCTTCAAACTTGCCCCACATGCAGCTCTGTGGGAACTGTAAGTTAAGAAATTATCATAAAAACCTTCACAGAGAAACTTTACTGAAAGATATTAAGATCTAAATAAATAGAGGGATGTACCATGTTCAAGGACTGAAAGATTCAATATTATAAAGTTGTTAGGTCTCCCTAAATTGATCTATATATCCAGTGAAATTTCAATTCAGAATCCCAGCAGCTTTTTTAAATATGGAAATTAACAAGCCAAAATCTAAAATTATGTGGAAGAGAAAAAAGCCAGAAATAGCCAAAACACTCTTGAAGAACAAGATGAGAAAACTTATCCTATCAGATATCAAGACTTAACATTAAGACAGGATGGCATTGGCAGAAGGAGAGCAAATTGCCTAATGGAACAGAAGGGAGAGTCCAGAAATAGATTTGTGGATATATGATCAAAATGACACTACCTTAGCTGGGCAAGGTAGCATGTGCACCTGTAGTCCCAGCCACTGGGGAGGCTGAGATGGGAGGATCGCTTGAACCCAAGAGTTCGAGGCTGCAGTGAGCTATGATTGCATCACTGTACTCTAACCTGGGACAGAACTAGGCCCTGTCTCTAAAAAAAAAAAAAAAATTGTGTATGTGGCGGGGGGGGGGGATCTTGATAAATTTGACTTTATTAAAATTTGGAATTTCTGTATGTCAAAAGATACCATTGAGAGGCTGTGCATAGTGGCTCACGCCTGTAATCCCAGCTCTTTGGGAGGCTGAGGTGCGCAGATTGCTTGAGTTCAGGAGTTCAGGACCAGCCTGGCCAACATGGTGAAACCCCATCTCTACTAAAAATACAAAAATTAGCTGGGTGAGGTGGTGCATGGCTATAGTTCCAGCTACTCGCCAGCTGAGGCAGGAGAATCGCTTGAACCTGGGAGGTGGAGGCTGCAGTGAGCCAAGATCACCCCACTGCACTCCAGCCTGGGCAACAGAGTGAGACTTCATCTCAAAAAAAAAAAAAGATATTATTAAGATGGTAAAAAGGCAAACCACAAACTGGGAGAAGATATTTATAATACCTGTATCAGACAAAGAATTCATATCCAGAATACATAAATGACTCCTATAAATTAAAGAAAAAACCAGATAACCCAATTTGTTAAAAATGGACAAAAGACTTGAACAGACATTTCACAAGACAGGATACCCAAATGCCCAAATGCATTTGAAAAAGTGCTGCTCAATGACAACAGGGAAATGCAAAATAAAATCACAATGGAATAACACCACACACCCAATAGAATTGCTTAAATTAATACTATTGACAATATCAAGTGTTGTCAATATTAGGATATGGAACAACCAGAACTTTCATCTCTGCCTCCATGAACAGTTCTATTCTCAGACATATATCCAAAAGAAATACATATGCACATACATCAATAGACATGTACAAAGCTAGCAAGATGATTAGTAATACCCTAAAATTGAGAATGACCCGAATTTACAACGGTAATAGAAAGGATAAATACAGTAATAAAAATAAAAGTGCAGTCACATACATAACATGACTTAATCTCACAAACATAATGTTTAGGAAAAGATGCCAGAAACAAACAAACAAACAAACACTGCATTTATTTATTTATTTATTATTTTGAGACGGAGTCTTGCTCTGTCACCAGGCTGGAGTGCAGTGGGCGATCTCCGCCCACCGGGTTCAAGCTATTCTCCTGCCTCAGCCTCCCAAGTAGCTGGGACTACAGGTGTGCACCACCATGCCCAGCTAATTTTTGTGTTTTTATTAGAGATAGGGTTTCACCATGTTGGCCAGATGGTCTCAATCTCTTGACCTTGTGATCTGCCCACCTCTGCCTCCCAAAGTGCTGGGATTACAGGGATGAGCCACTGCACCCAGCCCACATTGAATTTACATACGATTTATATAAAGTTCAAAAGAAGGTAACGGTGTTAAAAACCAGTTAAGGGGACTTGGATGAGTCCATGGGGTCCTGGGAACCTTGAGAAGTGCAGAGCCATCCCTGCCCCAGAACTTTCCACAGATGCTTTGTGATCTGCAATCCAGGCGTGAAGCAACGTGGATGCAGCCAGCCAAGGCCCCATGGAAGTTGTGCTTCTCAAGCACACCCTGGATGTCTGGGTCACTGTCTTCAGCATCCTGGCCATCGTCATCATGACGTCCTCGTTGCTATGCCCAGGCACTGCAGTCATCATCTATCTCATGCAGACCCATCGGGTCTTCAGTGGGGCTGTCCACCAGCCTCCCAAGAGGGCCAGGTGAGGGATGAGGACAGGAGTCCCTTCCCCTAGGCTCTTCCCTGTTCTCAGAAAAGCAGAGGGAAGGACTGTGGAGTGTGGACCTGAGTTCTGGTTTTGATTCTGCTGCTGGCCAGCTGTGTGAATTTGGTGGAGGAACCTAACTCCAGGTTCCCTGTCTTTCAAATGAAGATGATCCCTGCCCTTCCTAACTCATCCCTTCCTATCTCATAGAGTTGTGAGAACCACACGACTTCCTGGAAGTGAAAGCTGTTTGTGAACAGTAAAGCTTCCACAGATATACAGGTGTTATGCTGGGTGCTGAGAAGCTTTGAAGAACCAGGGAATCTAATTGCTGATGATGCCTTCAAGGTGGTGAGGGAGACACTGGGAGCAGAACAGACTTTGCCAGTGCCTCTCAGGTCAAACCAAGCAAAGGGCACCCTGTCATGAATCCAAGGGGCCAGCAGCACATTGACTCAAAGTTATTTTCTTTTTTTTTTTTTTTTTTGAGACAGAGTCTTGCACTGTTGCCCAGCCTGGAGTACAGTGGCGAAATCTCAGCTCACGGCAACCTCTGCCTCCTGGGTTAAAGGGATTCTCCTGCCTCAGCCTCCCGAGTAGCTGGGATTACAGGCACACACCGCCATGCCTGGCTAATTTTTGTATTTTTAGTAGAGACAGCGTTTCGCCATGTTGGCCAGGATGGTCTCTTGTGATCTGCCCGCCTCAGCCTCCCAAATTGCTGGAATTACAGGCATGATCCATGGCGTCTGGCCAAAGTTATTTTCTTTAAAGTGCTACTCCTTCACATTTTCTTAGTTGGAAGGGAACTGAGTATAGCTGGTGATAGCTGGCGGGAGAGAGGTAGGAGGGAGAAAGGGGTGGGGGCATAGGGAGACCTTTCCAGAACCTTATCTGTGGAATCTCTGTACCTATATAATCTGGAAGTGGGCTTTGCCATCTTTGGGCAATGTCAAGAGAGTTGGGGTGATGGGCATCTTTTCACACTGGAGTCTCTGTCTCTACTAGCTTTGACACTCAAGCAGTGCTGGAAAATGCAGGGTGACTGAGTTTCCTGCCCAGCTTTCAGAATCTCCAGTCCCCATCCCCTTATGCGCCCCACCCTAGAGGAGCCTTTTCCCTCTGCCCAGCTCCTGTTATAATTAGCTCCATGTGTACCCCCTTCATTCCCTCCCACCAGCACTGCAGCCAATATAAGGTACTTATATTTTAAGAGATATTCCCAGGATTTTGGAATCAACCCAAAACAATGATGGGTATTTTAGATGCTATGATTATTATTTGTATGGAGCTATTTCTGGACACTCAAGCTTTTTGATACCAAAATCAGGAACATCCTGGGTTTTATTAAGTTATGTAAGAAGATAGCACAGCTATCAGGATTTTATTTTGTGAAAACAACGCTTTTACTTTGATCTAATTTCATTGATGTACACAACTAATTTACAATAAAGTGTTAGAATGTGCTAAACAAATTAACTTTAAGGAGAGGGAGGGGTAGTTATTAGGAAGAGGCACAAGGGGGAATTTCTAGGGTGCAAGTAATGTGCTATTTCTTGACTAGGATAGCAGTACACTTACTGTAGGCTTTTCTACGTATGCTATAGTACAACTAAAGGATAATAGATAAAGAAGGGAAAAAAGACAAGAAAGAAAGAGAGATGGACCAGCAAAACACCAGGAAAAAACAAAATCAAAACACCTCTGTTGTGAGATATTTGCAACTCAGAACACACATGACTCTAAAAAACATGAAATGAAAAACCAATACTCTCTAATCTCCCAATAAAATTATAATCACCCACAGAAACAAATCCTCAACTGGGATTGCATTAAATGCACAGATCATCTTAAAGATAATTGGAATCTTTACTACAATAGATAACTTATTAAGTATTTACTATGTGCCTGGAACTGGGCTGAATGTTCTAAACAGATCATTTTCTTTAATTCTCATACTTGACACACGAGTTAACTAATAATATTACTCTCATTTTACAAACAAGGAAGCTAGACCTTAGAGAAGTAAAGCCACTTCCCTGAGATGATTGAGGAAGGAATGAGTAGAAATGGCATTCAAACTCAAGCTTTAGGATCATAGCTGCCACGTTAAACTTTCTGTGCAGAAACAGGGAGTATATTTTCACGGACTCGGGTGTTCTTTTTTCCATCTTTCCACAGCGTTTTAGAACTTTTTTTTTAATGTGGATTTACATATTTTTATTGTTTCTGATATTTTATCATTTTTGATGCTATTATGAATAAGACCTTTTTTCCTTTACATTTTCTAATTGGTTACTGGTGGTGATTAGGAGACCTACTGATTTTTAAACATCTTATATCTGACTACTTTCTTCTTTGTTTTTCAGTTAATTCTCTCAGATATTCCAGGTAGTCAAGGTGACGTATGTAAATAATGACAGCTTCCTCTGTTTCTTTCCCTCCGACTACCTCATTTGCCAATATTTATGCATTTTATGGCATGGGGAAAGGATCATAATGTACTGCCGGGTGGGGAGGGACCTTTAATACATTCCAGGCAAGGGAACACCATGTTTAAGCACGAGGTTATGAAGCAGCTTGACAGATTCCAGAAACTGGGAGTAGTTTGACAGGACTGTAAAGTAGGGCACAAATGAGGGAAGCAGAAGAAGGTAACTTGAAAGAGAAGACAGTGGATCTTGACGGATGACAAGCCATGAAGACTTCAAGCAGAGATGTAGCATGATAAGATTTACATTTAAGAAAACATGCCAGTGTCAGCAGTGCAGAGGACTGACTGAAGAAGGTGGTGCTGAAGAAAGGGAGAAAGGTTAGGAGGCTGCAGTAATGAGACAAACAAGTGACAAGCCATCCATGGAGTAACCGAGAAAGGGCATGGATCTGGGAGGAAGGAATTCCTACTCATTCAACCTCTGTCTAGTTGTGATTTTTTTTTTTTTTTTTTTTTGAGAAGGAGTCTTGTTCTGTCCCCCAGGCTGCAGTGCAGTGGTCCCATCTCAGCTCACTGCAACCTCCACCTCCCATGCTCAAGTGATTCTCCTGCCTCAGCCTCCCAAGTAGCTGGAACTACAGGTGTGCACAACCATGCCTGGCTAATTTTTTATATTTTAGTAGAGACAGTGTTTCACCAAGTTGGCCAGGTTGATCTTGAACTTCTGACCTCAAGTGATTCACCTGTCTCAATCTCCAAAAGTGTTAGGATTACAGACATGAGCCACCACGCCCGGCCCTGCTTATGATTTTGAACCAGTTATATAATGCCCCCAAGCTTCAATTTTTGTAATCTGTAAAATTAAAATAATAGCACCAACCAGCATGACTATGAAGCTTAAGTAGGATAATTTGTGTGCAGTGCACTCAAAATTAGTAGTTCTTTACTACTGAGCCTGACATTGATGGTGAGAATGAAATTGAGATCACAGATTTTAGGAAGGCAAAATCATCAAAGTGACATGCCAGAGTTAGCACTTCCTCTTCTGACTTATGAGGGAAGGTGAATCTTGACGTCACCCCCTTTCATCCACACGTGAAATTTCACCTCTCCTGTGTTCTCTGCTTTCTCTTCTCCCTGCCCACATCTTCCCAACAAGCCCATCACTAAGACTGCTCTGGGTGTTGGGTCTGAATATAACACGGCTCATAAATTATTTTGACAACTCAATACAAAAAAACACAACCTGATTTTTTTAATGGCCCAAGGGCTTGAATAGATATGTTTCCAAAGAACATGCACAAATGGCCAATAAGCACATGGGAAGATGCTCATCATTAGTCACTCGGGAAATGTAAATTGAAACCACAATGAAGCACCACTTCACACCCGCAAGGACAGCTATCAAAAAAACAAAAAACAAAGTGTTGGGGAGGATATGGAGAAACTGAAACTCTCATACACTATGAGAAGGTAAAGTCATTTGGCCACTGCAGAAAATAGTTTGGTGTTACTCAGAACATTCAACATAGAATTACCATATGACTTAGCAATTTCCCTCCTAGGTATAGTATCAAAAGACTTAAAAACAGGTGTTCAAACAAGTACATGTACTGTATACCTATGTACACAGCAGCACTGTTCACAATAACTAATAGGGAGATACAGTTCAATTGTCTGCCAATTAATGAATAAACAAGATTTGGTGTATACATATAATGGAATATTATTCAGCCATAAAAAGGAATGAAGTGCTGATACATGCTACAACATGGATGAACCTCAGAAGCATTATGCTAAGTGAAAAAAGCAAGACACAAAAGGTTACCTATTGTATAATGCCATTTATATTAAGTATCCAGCAGAAGTAAGAACACAGTTTTGTAGATATGAAGCACAGAGGGAGAGGGGGATGGGAAACAACTACTTAATAGGTATGGGGCTCCCTTTTGGAGTGATGAATATGTTATGGAACTAAATAGAGGTGATGGTTGCACAGAATATGAATGCACTCAATGCCACTGAAATGTTCACTGTAAAATGATTAATTGTATATGATGTTACTTTTACCTAAATAACTTTTAAAAAATTATGATGAAAATCTTTTCACAGAAAGTGGATGCGATCAGCTGCTAGAGTTCAGATATACCTACCTCAAGCCACCAATGAATAGAAGGTAGTTTGCATTAAACCACTATAGTATCCACTCCAGTCAGAGTTTTTAATGTCCAGGTAGTCTGTTTTACTTAATAACACCAGTAACCCCAGTTAGGGGCAGTGCAATCTCTTGCTGATGTCAATACCTTAAACTAGTTGAAAATTGTACTGGAGCCCTTATTTTTCCTTCAATTATCTTGCCTTCCCACAGTCCCTCTGAAAGTCCTAGCCATAGCCTGACTCCAGGGGCCTTTTGGAGGCATGTTTTCACCCACAGAGTTGCTTAATTTTCCTTGATTGCAATGTCTCTTTGAAAGTTCTCACATACTATTATATGAAAATATTGTCTTTCCATGTCTTGACTGTAAGCTCCATGAGGTCAGGAACTGTGCTTCTTTTGATCACCAATT